GACAAAAGAAATTTAACAAATTATAATATGTCTTAAAAATTTTCACAAGCTTCCCTCTCCTTCCCCTAGGTCATAGCCTAGTGGTATAGTTCAATCTCCCTCTCTCTCCTCTGTCCCTTTCTCTTTCCTGTTTGTTCTTTACACACCTCCATCTTGTGTGGGGCCAGCAGTTCGCTCTCCTGCCAATAAATTCTCTCCTGCATGAACCTTACATATGGTGCATGGGCCAGGAAGGGGTAGTGTCAGGAGTCGCTGGATCCTCTCCTCTCTCAGCCCACCTCTTGGCCCCTGCTGAAGGAGCCCATGTCAGACTTCTTGCCTTACCATTGCTGGCTCCACCATGCCATCTCCTCTGTATGTCTACAGAGTGACTTCTGTCTACAGGCCCTCTGTCTTTTTTGACATGGTATCACACCAAAGGGGACACCCCCCCCCAACAACAACTACTACTTTTTTTTGCAAGTTTCTTCTCCTTTCAGGGAGGGCTGAATCAAGAACTCAACTCCGTCAGAAACACTTTGGTGGATAGGGACACCTTCTACCTGGTACCTCTAGCTCTGCACTTACTAGATTCCCTTTCCTCCTCGTGTTTCTTATGCTCTCTAGATGTTCTTTCACTCAAAAAATCCATAAAGCCAAAACACCTTACTTTTATTTCCACAGTCTCTGCCAATGCAATGGAAAAAGGCCCGAAGTTCTACACATTCAGGCCTTCTTTATCCTCCTTGCTCATCCTTCTCTCCCTCTCTCCTGTCTCCTCCAGTCCAGCTGACAGCCCCTTTGGCTTATGCCCTTAAAAGTGAAATGCAGGCTGGGCCTGGGGCTTCCTCTTGAAGGCTAGCTGTCCCTTTCTGTTTGTCTGTCTGCTTGTTATTTACTCAATAAAGCTCCACCAAGTTTTCTTTTTTTTTTTTCTGCTAGTCTTGGGTTTTAACTCTGGGACTGGGTGCTGTCCCTGAGATTCTTTTGCTCAAGGCAAGCACTCTACCACTTGAGCCACAGCGCCACTTCTGGCTTTTTTGAGTAGTTTATTGAAGATAAGAGTCTCACGGAGTTTCTTGCCCAGGCTGGCTTCAAACCGTGATCCTCAGATCTCAACCTCCTGAGTAGCCAGGGTTATAGGCATGAGCCACTGGTGCCCAGCCCACCAAGTTTTCTTTAAAACAAACAAACAAAACACACAAAACTTTCACAAGAAGCTTAAAACATACAAGAGTATTTTTGCCGGGTGCAGGTAACTCACGCCTGTAATCCTAGCTACTCGGGAGGCTGAGATGGGAGGATCGCAGTTCAAAGCCAGCCCTGGCAGGAAAGACCATGAGACTCCTATCTCCAATAAACCACTAGATAAAAACTGGAAGTGGTGCTGTAGCTCAAGTGGTAGAGCGCTCGCCTTGAGCTGAGGAACAGAGCCCAGACCCAGAGTTCAAGCCCCACGACCGACAAAAAAAAAATTAAAAAAAATTTTTTTTAATCAGCCAAAGAATATATATTCATATTATACAATTTCAAAACTGAAGGTTGTTGTATTTGATGTCGGTATAATTTGTGGAGGGGAAGGGGAAAAACAAATCGTTTAAATAGGGATACAGGTGGACCCATTGCAACAATGAGATGTACAAGTCATTATGTAGAAAACGAACTTTACAACTTTGGTGGGGGGGGAGGATTAGGTGGGGGAATGGGGGGGGAGGATGGCAAGGGATGGAAAGGGGAAACAAAGGAGGAGGCTACAATGTTTGATAAGAAATGTACTCATTATCTTGCCCATGTAATTGTAACCCCTCTGTACAGTATTTTCACAATAAAAAAAATTGAAGGTTGCAAAACATGCAAATTACGTACATTTATAATAGCTATAACTTATATGTTACATGTTCACATACTAAGATTTGATACTTTATTTCTAACACAGCCCTATAAACACAAGACACAAATCTTTCACTATAAGACTAAATCAGTATTTTCAGGTTAGATAGACTCTAATTTGCATGCAAGCTTTTTTTGGTCAGTCATGGGGCCTGAACTCTGGGCTTGGGCGCTGCCCCTCAGCTATTAAGCTCAAGGCTAGCATTCTACCACTTGAGCCACAGTACCACTTCCAGCTTTTCCTGCTTATGTAGTACTGAGGAATCAAACCCAGGGCCTCATGCATGCAAGGCTAGCACTCTACCACTGAGCTACCTTCCCAGCCCCTGCATGCAAGCTTTATAAGGTTAGTTAACCTAAACATACCTGACTGGAGATGTCCATTTCGGCATGTCAAGTTAGTACTGTCATTATAGACATCCGTTTGTGACTTGGAAAATTGCAAAACTGGTTGCAGCTTCTCTATGCAACAGAGGGAGTTAGAAAAAAAGAACAAAATAAACAAACAAAAATGAACAAAAAATATACATGTAAAATTAAGAAATTATTCAGTGTTACAAAACTGACGTGATGATTTTCTGCATTTATATAAATCTTTAAAATATAATAAAATCTCACACATGAAAAGTCCTGCACTTAAAGATCTTTAAAAAATAGTTAGCAAAAACTCAAAACATGCAACAGAAATTAACAAATGAAAGATTATATTTAAAATATGCCTTAAACAGGTCAGTTACCAGAGACTGTTATGTATCATTATTATTACCAAAAATATTTACTGAGTATCTAATACGTCCAAATCATTATGCTGAAAGAATACCATAGAGACAAAAATATGGAAATGGTTTCTACTATCCATAAACTCATTAAATGTGATAGGCAACTTGGAACACAACTATGCCTTTTAAAAAACCGGTTGAGGATGTAGTTTGAGAGTAGAACATGAAAGAGTTTGATCCCTACAACTAAAAAATAACTATAGCTTTTAAAAAATAGACTGAGGATGTAGTTTGAGTAGAACATGTAGGAGAGTTTGATTCCTAGAACCAAAAAGTAACAACAAACATAAAATAGGACAACATATAATAATATAAAAATAATTTCAAAAGGCTAAGATCTGAGGATTGAGGTTCAAAGCCAGCTCAAACAGGAAAGTCTATGAGACTCTTACCTCTAATAAATTACAAAAAAATCCAGAAGTATAGCTGTGGCTCAAATGGTAGAGCACTAGATCTGAGCAAAAGAAGCTCAAGGACTACTCCAAGGCCCTGAGTTCAAGCCCCAGGATGGGAGAAAGAAAAGAAAAGGAAAGAAAGCCGGGTGCTGGTGGCTCATGCCTGTAATCCTAGCTACTCAGGAGGCTGAGATCTGAGGATCGCTGTTCAAAGCCAGCCCGGGCAGGAGAGACAGTGAGACTCCTATCTATCTCCAATAAACCACCAGAAAACCGGAAGTGGCGCTGTAGCTCAAGTAGTAGAGCGCTCGCCTTGAGCTGAAGAGCTGAGGGACAGCGCCCAGGCCCAGAGTTCAAGCCCCACGACCGACAAAAAAAAAAAAAAAGAAAAGAAAAGGAAAGAAAAGAAAAGAAGAAAGAGAAAGAGAGGGGGGAGGGAGGGAAGGAATGAAGAAAGAGAGGGAGGAGGGAGGGAGGAATGAAGGAGAGAAAAAGAGAAAGAAGGAAGGAAGAAAGGAAGGAAGAGGGCTGGGAAAGTGGCTCAGTGGTAGAGCACTTGCCTTGCATGCATGAGGCCCTGGGTTCAATTCCTCAGCACCACATAAGCAAAAAGAAAAAAGCCGGAAGTGGCACTGTGGCCTTGAGCTGAAGAGCTGAGGGACAGTGCCCAGGCCCAGAGTTCAGGCCCCACCAACAAAAAAAAAAAAAAAAAAAGGAAAGAAGAAAGGGAGGGAGGGAGACAAGGATACATGTCAGGAGAGAAATACTTCAAATAGCACAGAACTAAAGGAATATTATGACATTTGGCTACATTAATATAAATCAAGCAAAAGATAAAGGTAATTGAATAGAGCAGAATAAGCATGCTGCAAAATTGTGTATAATAACCTTTCATTGATTTAAACACAAATGTATAGCTGTACACATGAAGATATCCTATAAAAAGGACCCAGAGAAACTGGTAATGCAGCTGCCTCTTAGGAGGCAAACTGGGTGGCGGGGGCACAGTATCAGATGAATGCTATTTGGAATCTTTAAAATTTCATGTGGCATGGACTCTATAATCTACTTTTTTTTTCCTTGATAATGTTTACTGCATTAAAAAATAGAAGTTTTCGGATGGTTCTACAATCTAGTTTTTCAATGAATCCTTTAAAAAAAAAGTCTTGTTTCAATTCTATTCTCATTTTAAATAGCAAAAGCTGCCCAAAGATATGGTTCTGTAAAGCAGGCACACAATGCACAGAAGGGAAAAGTCTGACTTTCCTTGACACTCTACATCCCTGGCTGCACTCCCCTCTTATACCTAAATTCACCTATATGATAGCTGACATATCTTCTGCTCTACTAGTGACTAGCAACATGGCCTTAACTTACTCTGTTTACCCAGCCTCTCAAGGATTAAATAAAAGAATGAACATGAAGTATACAGTCTGTGTTTCATCTATAATAAAGTTCAATTATAATTTTATTTTGGCGAAATATTAAAAACACAAGTTACTCTTTTCTGCACTAGCATCTGGGAGGGTAGCTCAGTGGTAACATCTATGCTTAGTACTGTGGTCAAGGACCTGGATTCAATTGTTAGCACCAGACAAAGAAAAAAATAAGCAACACATACATACTCTCCGAACCTTTTTTTGTTGTTGTTGGTTGTGGGGCTTGAAATCTAGACCTGGGCCCTGTCTCTGAGCTCTTCAGCTCAAGGCTAGCGCTCTACCATGCTCTACCACTTGAGCCATAGTGCCACTTCCAGCCTTTTCTGTTTATGTGTTGCTGAGGAATCGAACCCAAGGCCTCATGCATACAAGGCAAGCACTCTACCGCTGAGCTACCTTCCCAGTCCCTGGAACTTTTATTTCTAAGGTCAGACAAGCAGGCGCCAAGCTTGGTTAATGGTACAACAACACATACCTCTGGGACAGGTTAAATAGCAGCTACCCTTTTTATACAAAGCACAAAGTACTGAACAGCTTTTGTTTCCTAAACCTGGCTGATACAATATACCTTGAAGGGTTTTTTTTAGTTAACAGGTAGGTCATTTGTTTTTTCCTCAATAGTACTCTTTAATTGCCATACTGAGCCACAACTTTTGTAATAGTGTAAATTAGAAAAAAAATATTGTAAACACCTTCTTTTAACACCCCTTTTAATTAAATGTAACAAAAAGCTATAGAAAATTAATTATATAGGAAAGATAAATTAAAAGGTTTGGTCACTGGGAATAAAAAGTAAGCATTTGACGGGTGCTGGTGGCTCTGAGGATTATGGTTCAAAGCCAGCTGGGGCAGGACAGTCCATGAGACTTTTATCTCCAATTAACCACCAGAAAACTGGAAGTGGAGCTGTGGCTCTAAGTGTTAAAGAGATAGCCTTAAGCAAAAGAGCTCAGAAACAGAGCCCAGGCCCTGGGTTTAAGCCTCACAACTGCAAAAGATAAAAATAAAAAAAGTTAGCAATTGTCTGTAGATCCACAGGATTTAGTGTGTGTGTGTGTGTGTGTGTGTGTGTGTGTGTGTGTGTTACTGAGACTTGAACGCAAACCTTGTGCTCTCAGCGTTTTTGCTAAGGCTGGCATTCTACCACAGAGCCTCACTCCATTTCTGCCTTTTGCTGGTTTATTGAACCTTCCTATTCATTTCCTGCTTATAAAAAGTAGATAGTTCAGGATAGAGCACAGTGGTAGACCATCTGCTTCACATACATGAGACCTTGAGTTCAATCTTTACTGCATCAATGGAAGTGGTGCTGTAGCTCAAGTGGTAGAGCGATCGCCTTGAGTTGAAGTGCTGAGGGACAACGCCCAGGCCCAGAGTTCAAGCCCCACGACCGACAAAAAAAAAAAAAAACTATATAGAGCACTCAATCTTTAATGCATCAAAAAGTAAACAGACTACTGCTTCCTTTTAGAATGACTTAAGCTACACAGACTAATCAGTGATAAAATTAAACCTTACTTAACCTTACTTCTCTACTGCCTCCTATTTAACCACCACACAACCACCGAATGATATACTTAAATGGAAAAATCGTACCACAGATCTCTTCTACTTAAAACTTTTCAGTTGCTTGCAACTACCCACAGATTAGAGCTCACAGTCCTTTATATGACAAACCAGGCAATCCATGATTTGCCTCTATCATGCTTAAGCGAATCCCTACTTCAACTGTCTTTCCCCTTATTCACCTGAGTCTTTATTCAAACCTTTGTTTCCTTCTGATATGTTTTTTTCTTGAACTCTTTAATAACTCTCATTTATTTTTGTAAACCTGTACGACTATTTCAGGGTTTCACATCTTTTAGAAAGTTCTCTCATATGCCAATGTTACCACTCCTACAAAATATTTGTATGTTTCCATCCTGAAAGGATAATTGTCTATTTCTATGTTTCTCCCAAAATGAGATCCTTAAACAGAGAACATTTTATCCAAACTATCAGTAAATATATCAGTCCTCAAATATCACAATCCAATCACTTGTTATCATTTTTCCTGATGCATCTAACCCAAATCTCCATTATTTTCCCCTCGATTACTGAAAGTATCCAAACTGCTCTATCTGGTTCTACCCTTAGAGTCTACAAGCAACACAGAAACCTGAGTGATCCTTCAAAAACTTGTTTGGTGATATCACTCCTATCCTAAAACTCTTAGGACTGCTCTCCATTTCACAGGTGAGCTTAAACCTTCATGTTGACCTATGTAGTCCTATGTATTAGAACAGCCTCTTACCCACTTAGCCGCTAATAAGGTCTTGCTGAGTAGCACTGGTTTCTTTGAAGCTTTGTAAACATACAACATATGTTCTCATAAGGCTTCACTGGGTTCTTCTACACAATCCCTCAGATACCTTCACATCTAACTCAAGTCAAATTCACTAACAGGATATTCCAAATATTCTGTTTAAAACTAAAAAATCTGGGACTGGGAAGGTGGCTCAGTGGTAGAGTGCTTGCCTCACATGCATGAGGCCCTAGGTTCGATTCCTCAGCACGACATAAATAGAAAAAGCCAGAAGTGGTGCTGAGGCTCAAGTGGTAGAGCACTAGCCTAGAGCTGAAGAGCTGAGGGACAGTGCCCAGGCCCAGAATGCAAGCCCCAGGATGGGGGGGGGGGGAGAAGAAAAGAAGGAAGAAGAACAACAACAACAAAGAAAGTAAAAATTCTGACCTCCCTGCCTGCCCACTACTAATGTTGTTCTTTCTTGAGTAGTTTAACATCTATAATATATTGTATAAATGAATATTTATTCTTTTTTTTTTTTTTTTTTTGGCCCAGTCCTGGGGCT